TCTCCTCCATTCTCCTCTCGGGATCTTGGGCACAGACGCACATGTGCCCGGCGTGAGTTTAAGCCACAAGGTCCAGGACTTGAACCGCAGTTGACTACATGGGAGTCCAGCAACATAGCCATTATGCCAACTGCTGGTCCCAAGTATCAAATTCTGAGAGCCAAGGGACACTGGCACTAACTACCATTAAGACTGCTGTCTATCTATGTTGTACTAGACAACAAGGACTATTTAAAAATGGCAGCTTTAAGTGCTTATTGTTTTTTTTTTGGAGAGGTTTTTGCTATAGGGCGTGTACGCTCGCCAGACAGAGAGAGACATAGAGACAGAAAGCGAGAAATCACCCCCCAGAGGGGATGGTCACGCCGCAATCCCTTCTCCTTCATTCTCCTCTCGGGATCTTGGGCACGCACGCACACGCACCCGGTGTGAGTTTAAGCCACCGGGTCCGGGACATGAACCGCGGTCGACTACGTGGGAGTCCAGCGACATAGCCATTACACTAACTGCTGGTTCCCATAAGCGCTTATTGTTGAAAATATAACTTGGAGTGAAATGCCTAGCATAGCATGTGCAATGTTAAGATTTTCCTTTTATGTAATCAAGCAATAACATACAAAGAAAAAAATAGAAAACTGCATACTGAAAGCAGACGTGCTAGAACAGAAGGAAGAAAGATGATAATAAACATTACATTTGAAGTGGTAAGTCTGTTTTAATGTAATTTGAGCTATAATTGAACTCTTTGGCAATAACATAACTATGAAAATTAATATTAACATCAATGCTGTAATCGTTCAATATTTTTGCTTTCTATTCTATAGGGTATATTTTCAACCCTGGGACAAAATTAGTAACCCAAATATTAATTCTACTTTAAATTAATTTTTGTTTCTTGTCTGCTTCTCTACCTTCCACATGACCTTACAGAGTTCTATGATAATCAATCTGATTCTTAACATCTCTCAATTCATTGCTGCAGTACCCTAGCCCAGAGATCAAAATTCATGTATACTTTTAAATACCAATAAATCAAGACAAGAGATTCAGTTTGGGAAAGATGGTTAAAAGTGTTTGGTTAAAGTTGAAGACTGTCTTGTGACACAGGCTCACTGTTAATTTAAACAGCACGGCAAATAAAAGCATAGCTGACGCTGGTGAAATGTTAAATTCTGCGGTGTGGCCAGCAGAAGTGATGTGTACTATCAGCTCTTGAGGTAGAAAATTTACTACTCATTACTAAATATGAATATTTGCTAAGTTAATGTTCAAATACAAAAATTTAAAAACGACACAAAACTGCTATGAATATCCTGTATGTACATTTCAGTAAAAAGCCAACAGAAACTGATCAGTCAGGAGGAGGTTTAGAATTAGACTTTCCTTAGGAAGTTTTAAATATATTCATCTGTTTTGAATTGTTATCTGTTCTGTGCATTGCTCGTCCACTTACCTACTATCCCATTACCTCGACTCAAGGAAGGAAAACCTACCCTGAAAAGCTCCGTGGGCCCCTCACATGTTGTGCGAGTCCTCTCACAGAGTAGGAGGTGCTCTGACACAGAGACGCGACAAGTGGAGCGTCAAGGACAGGATGAACTTACGTCGTGTTTCCAGAGGATCTTAGGATACATGGAGAGAGTTGGGGAAGACGAGGTCTTAAAAGACTCTGTTATTAGCCTTTGGGCTTAAAGATCTCTGGGATTTAGGAGGTTGAATATCTGCAGATACTCAGAATCTGAGAGCTCCTTCACCTAGGCCATCACATTTTATAAACGGCTACTTCATTTTAGGTCTTAAACATACTGGTTTTGAACAATCAAGTTACAGTACATGCTACATGTATTTAGGTGATGAGGAAGTAACCAGCCAATTTCAGAGGCGGCTGTTTTACATTAGTAGGTTCTCACAAACGACAGGTGGGAGAGACATGTATAGTTGAAGAAAATGTGAAGAGAAGAAGTGGTCCAGAATGGCAAAGGGATGTCCCTTCTCAGTGTTCCAGAATGCCCCAATGTAGGCAGAAGTAAGAACATGATCGTGTTTTATCAATTTATGTAAGAAATACAAATTTCTGCTTGCTTTTTTTTTCTCTCTCTCTTTTTTTTTTTTTTTTTGGAGAGATTTTTGCTATAGGG